CAGCTCTTTATAGCCAAAAAACAGGGTGTCTTTAACTTAGCCAGACTTCAGGTGAATAACTCAAAACCAAAAATGCTCATCCAAAAGGCACCTCCAGTTCCTTCTACAATTCAATATCAGGCAGTAGGCAGTATCAAAAAAATTGCAGAACCACATCACCAACACCCTCAATATACAATCAGCAAACAAGTAATTAAATGGGGAGCAACGAATTTCAGCATTTCTTTAGGGTACACAAATAAACACAACTCAAAGCACATACCTATTAAGTCAACCTCTTCTGCCACCTTCCCACTGTAACAACCTGTGTACAACATACAGCAGGTCACCAACTCGTTCTACAGATTTAAGCTTCAACCACTGCTTAACACACCTTTAAACAAGCAATACAGAAGGGCTGGAGAGACAAGAGACTGTTGACCCCACGCTTGTTTTACTGCACTTCCCCACCCTCCCTGCCACTATTGTTCCTGAATGCACACACTGGGCAGGAATGACTTTTCCATACAAACTGCCTGCATCAGTTCAAACAGAAAACCCTCAATCTTCCTCACAGCACAAGCACACACATAATCCAGAAACAATCTACCCTCTCTGTGAGGAGCAGGAGATGCCTCTGCAGGTTAAGTACCGATGTAAAGAAGAAGCGCCTCAGCATCTGGCATCTGGAACTCCAGACAACTGGCTCCACAGCAGTGATGGCTGGCACTGATGCCAAATTTTCATTTCAAGTTGTGTGCACTGCACTGCTTTCAAAGCTTTCCATGCTTGCTATGCAATACTGTTATATAGTTGTAAAATGACCACTCACTTGAAAACAACCAAACAACCAAAAATTACAAACCTTTTGAGATGGGTCAAACAAGCACCTTGGCCTCAAATATAGGGTAGAAATTGTGACAAGCAGTGTATTTAAGAAGGAACATTATAGCTTGGTAATTATATAAGACAAGACAGAAGGAGTCCCTTCTTCCAGTAACTGACATTTGCTATTTTTTTTTTTAAGAAGATAATAAAAGTAGCATAATAAAACAAAATGTTTAAAAATTAAACCAAACCCATCCTTTTTTTCTTCAGATGTATAGAATGGTAAAGAAAAAAAATTATTTCAATCATTTCCTTAGTAATACAAGTAATGTTTAAATAGATTTAATAGTGCAGCTCCAAACCAATGAATTATGAGTTTAAAACCTATTAAAATGTAATGTTTTTTTCCTGAGCTGAGGAGAGAGAGATTTAAATTCACTGAATTTTAATATTTCAGCTTGAGCTGCAGGAGGTAGAGAAAGTCCAAATGAACTATTCCATCAGCACCATTCAAGCATGAACATTTTAATCAGTTTTACTTCCTTGGAGTTCTCCAACACAGTTTACGCTGTCATTCTGAAAGCACTTAACACAGAGGGTGTGAAAAACCACCAAGGCTTGTTATTGCCTTCACAATTGATGGCAAATAATTTTGCAGACTTCCTATCATTAAAATGTCACTGCTAAAAATTGAGGTTCAGCATTTCTTGTGCTAAACTGCATTTTCTTTCAACACCATCACATATCTGTTCTTCAGTTTTTGGTGTATTTATCTTTCTCCAAGTGATAAACAGGCATACAAGCAGTAGCCTTTATTTCTCCCTTACTACCCAACTGCAGCTGAAAAATTACTACTTTAAACAGCAGGAAAAAAACAATACTCTGATAAAATTCTTAAAAAGTTACAAGTTAATTCCCTGGTTCCCTTATTAAAATGTAACCACACTCACACAGTGTGTTCCAATTGTATTGTATAATGGATTAAAAAAAAAACAAACCCCAACATTTTAAGAAAGTTAGACAACTCAATTTATTAATTGAGGAAATGAAAACATCATTCCTAATTAGATTATACTGCTGACTTAAGGCTATGATTCATGTGTTGTTCCAACAGTGCGATCTTGCAGATTCTAATGTAAAAACACGGCAGCTTTGACACATGACAAGATCAACTGGATACATCACATGGCTCATCCTGGCACACCCAGCCTGGGAAGCAGCTCTGGATGTGCACTTCCAACGGCCCCAAGCAAGAACGCTACACCACACCATCCATGGCAAACACCAGATGCAGAGTCTGTATGCCTGCAGATTTACAGTCCTCCTGCAGCATGCTTATGATATACACAGTTTTGATTTAGTTTTTCTCACTGCAACTCTCCAGGAGATGATAGATGATATCTAACTTGTTTGAGCCTGTCAACAATTTTCAACTGAACATGACCTGTGAAAGAAGTCATTATAACTGTGTTTCATTCCATTAAACATAACTAGTTTATTGTCAGGAGAACAAGCAGCCTCTCCAGATTCCGGGTTCACTTCAGTATTTTGCATTTAAACTGCATGGATCAGTGATTTGGTTCATTTACCAATGAAGATAGAATAATATTGCAAAGTTAAAAGGTGCTTCATCAGATTCCATTAAATTAGAGCACATTCATACAAAAATATATGTGTGTGTGAAACATAAAGAGAGACGTGATCCATGCACGTTTGATTCTCTTCTTGTGGCATATTCCATTTTGGTAGAATCCATTTTAAACTGACACCCAGGGTTGCTCTGTGCGAATTGAAGGGGTTTAGCACGAGTGAGGTGAACTGAACAGAACTCACTCAAAGCACAGAGAAACTTAAGCTACAGTTGTATTTCAAAAACTCAAATACTGCTTCCTTCTTTGCCTGATACACAGTTCAATGGGTTAAACATACTTTGGAAGTTTTTCTAATACCACAGTGTTAAAAGAACACAAACACTGTCAGACTTACCAAACGGCAAAATTATTTAAGACAATCTAATCAGATATATATAAAAGGCATAATTTCTAATTACATTCTTTGTTTTATTTTTAGGGGTATTCACTTCACAAAGTATGACAAGCCTTTTTAGTCCCATGTTACATTTTCAGACTTTAAATCTCTCTAATCTCTCTTATTGTGGATATTCATCCAACAAAAACTTGATAACTCTCTTTCCTATTTATTCCATTTTTAAAAATGAATATTTCAAAGATTGCATGAGATTACTTCTCCTTAAATGTGATGAACACAAAAATTGGAGTCCATATTGCTCCTGTTTCTGTAAAACTAAAGAGAGGGGGACACAGCGTTTGCTAAGTCAACATAAAACTTAGGAGTGAAAAAAGGCAGTAGACTAAGGTAAAAATCAGTCCTGTGAGGACACGAGGGTTGTCTAATTAATGCACAAATCCAAAATTCTGATAGTTTAAAAAACTTTGAAGCAACAGAATTTTAGTTGACATGAAGAGATAAATTCAGACAGCAGGAAACAAGAGAAAATTTACTTCTGTCTGGTGGAGGGAAGACCAACAGAAGCTATTGCCAGGCTCCCAGGCAAGTGTCTAGTCTGTTTATATTTATTCTGCATGGTTTAGCGGTTCATGAAAGCAGGATAAACTTAAATAAGGAGTGCAATAGCCAGTATCTATAACATCACACATTTTACACGGACGTATACACACATGTTATATATGCACATGCAGCACACACATATAAAAGCTTCTTTAACTAAGAAGCCAACCTTCAGCTACTTACTTTATGCAAAGAATGTTAATAGAAGACAATATTTCTGGTTAGGTAATGAAAACTAATTGGGAAATTATTCACTTCCCACTCTTCCCACTGGAGTGTAAAAGACATACAACAAATGTTATTCATGATTCTACACGACGTGCTCTGATTCACCCCCTTCTTTCTAACGGGCACTTCAGAGGAAATAAAGGTTACTTTTTTCCATTTATAATTTCTAATTGACTACCAATGTTTTCTTGTGGTCAGAGATACAAAACAGAGTTAGAAATAGCCTAGTAAAAACAAGCTACAGTCAGATCCTTGGTCTGTACTACTGTCACCAATGATGAGAAAGGCCCGATTTCCTTGTTAAAAGATGGAGGTGTAATTGAAGCAATATCTTCACTTCAGATTGATTATTCTGCGACCCTTATGCACATCTTCACTCAGCAATTTGAATTTTAATGAAAGTAAATGGAATAATTAGAATTTCAAAGTGTGTTTGATACACTGAATAAAAAAAAAAGGAAAATACTTTTCTGGATAATCTGTACATAAAAGAAAAAGCATTTGGGCGGGTTCAGAAGAAAGGAAGTACAGTTGTGTCTTCACTAGAATAACTTAAACGACTGCTTGCTCCAGCTGCATAATTATACATGAGAATAATGTGCTATGAGAAGCTATGACTTCTCAACTTTATTTTATGTAGTGTGAACAGCTATGGCTTTTGTTGTTATGTCTGTCCTCTCCAGTTGTAAAATATAAACACTGTGGCTGCCCACACCCATAAAATCTCTATACTGGACTAATACCACTGGCAGTAAAGCTTTTACAAGAGAGGTTCCACACACTCATACTTTTAGATGATTGTAGGGGACCTATAAGCACACTGTTGATGAGTTGTTCTGCTATGGATTTTGGTTATTTCTTTGGGTGTTTTGGTTTTGGTGTTTTGGGGTTTTTTCCACTTGGTTGATTGTTCTATTTGTTTTTTAAAGTAACAGCTATTTTTTAATTTAAAAATGAAAAGTGTGATGAATATTCAGAGTCTTGAGCCAACACCCAGAAAAGGATGTGGGCAGGAGGGATGGGAAAAACAGTATGTCACATGAAGTCCTTCTGTTACTGTGGCTGCAGAAGCAGACTGGCAGGTGGTATGCAAAGGAAGCAATGTTACTTAAAAAGGACAAAAACAAACAAAAACTCAAAAAAATTAGATACAATAATAGATACAATACAGACATTAATTAGCCCATTAGTCCTTTTGGCACAGTGCAAGGAAAAGTCTTCAGATAGTAACCAGATTTTATGAAGATTAAGCTACTGAACTTCACCACTGCTCACACTTTTTGCCCATCTGATGGAAATGAGTTCATGAAAGGGAGAAAAAAAAAAGAAAAGCTATTTACAAATACTATCAGAGCTAAAATGAAAAGACCACGTACCCCAATGATTGCGTTCAGTTCTGCCATGGTCACTTGTTTGGCACGCTCCACAGCCTGCACCACTTGTTGCTGGTGCTATAAATGAAGATCAGAAACAGAATAAAATTATTTGTTTTCTAAATTACTAAGCACAGATTCTTCCTTTTATTGTTTTTATTTGCTTTTCCAACAGGTCTGACATAACTGTTCTCTAACAGACAGTCAAATTGTGTGTTGATCTGCAAAAACGTACAGGTAAGGGGAGGATGTTTATTTTTATGCCATTACATGCTAGGAATTACACCTTCGCTTCCCAAAAAGCTATTTTACAATCTAGCTAATGGAAAACTGTCTTCTTTTTTGCTCTTCAGCACAATGTGCTCTTGAATTTATATGCCAACTTCAAATGCAAGCCAGTTTCCTTACAGCCACAGAAACTTTCTGAATTTTTTAAAAAAGTATTCTGAAAAAGAAAGGTATATATTTTCAACAAGCATATGGCACTCACACTACTGAAAAATGTGCAGATTCTCCTCCTAGGTACATTTCAAACCATTTCAACCATAGGAAAGAAATTTAAAATGCCATTCACAAATCTGTCAAACACGTGAAAGAAAACTAATTATTTCAATCTCTAACATGTAAATTTTAGTAGCTTTAAAAAGTCCATTAAAAACACATGGTCTAATTAACAACATAGTTTACAAGCTTCAGTGGTTATATTATCTCAGTTTGAGCGATACTGTATCACTCAGTATGCTGATATTTACTTGAAGACAACTACTACAAATAAAATAAGGTCTTCATTTTTGAAGCAGATCTATGCCTGTTCAGATCTCCACCAGTGGCAAATTAATCTTCACAGGCAGCCTCGCGGAATCAGGATGACGCGGAACAAACAGGTGCAAGGACAGGTCAGGGAGAACAGCAAGTAGATTGTGTGATCTGCACTGGGAGTGAGACGTCTTTGATTTATAGCCATAGGTTGAACACAAAAAGGAAGGAGATCCTGTCTATCTGGAGAGGTGCTAAAACCATAACAATGAATCCTCAGCTTTGTATCAAAATCAACATCTAGGTGTTTTTTATCACAAAGTTGAAGGAAAAGGTCTCTTTAAAGACTCAAGTCTGCCACCCCATGGCTGTGTATCCATATACAGAATGGAGCCAAGGTAGAGACCATCCAACAACTTCTCCTGTGCATCCTTATCAGGAACAAAAAGCTGCACAAAATAAGGTGGGGACCCAAATCCCCAAGACCACCTCCAAAACAAGAGTTAGGTGAAGAGCATCAGAAACACTCCCCAGGGAGCACCCTAAGCTCCACTGGGAGAGGGCGCCATAAAGAAGGGCACTCCTACATCAGGGGCTTGGAGGACTCAGATTTCACAATTCTCAGTGCAACACACAAACGAAAATGGCATTTTCACTTATAAACTGTCTCCCATAAACGCCCTCAGGGCAAGGAAAACCAAACATATAAATCCACCCACCCATAACTGTCTTGGTTTGGGCCAGGACAGAATTAATTTTTCACAGTAGCCATGAGGGGTGGAGCCTGGACCCCTAGCAATAATATGATATATCTCCACTCTTGCCGAAACAAACCATGACACTGTAAGAAATGCTGACCTCAACTATGAAAAGTGGAAAAATGCAAATAATGAAGGAGGCAATTTAGAAACACTCCTAGTAAGACTAAAATGGATTTAAGGTTTGTTTGTTTTTAAGCAAGGAAGAATTAAATGAAGGACAAACAAACAAACAAAGGAAATAGAATCACAGCAGTTTCCTTTAGAGTTTTGTAAAACTACAGTGCCAATGTAAACCAAATTCGCCACTTATAAGAAGACAACATAAAGACTAAAAAGCAGGCTGAAAGTGAGCAAACATGTTCTTGGCATTCACGGGGGGGGGGGGAAATAATGCAGTGTATCAGTACCACAGATAACCAGAAAAAAAGAAAATCATGATACTCCAGCCTCGAGTTCCTGACATTGTGGTTTCATCTCCAGGTCATCACTTGTTAAGGACAGGTACAGCTTTCATTGATTATATAGCTGAAAGCCTGGTGACACATGTCTATACATGTCAATAGGGTAATCATAAAAATTATACCATCACTTTCTGGTGGAGATCATTCACGCCCAAAATGGGTCATGGAATTTTTCATCAAGTAATCAAAAAAATGCAAAACAAAAAAGAGTTTTAAAAATATTTAGTTTTTTTTTTTTTTTAATAAAATCATTAACTAGGATGTTTGCAGTCATCTTCTCTTTCTACCATTTCCTAGGCAATGATTTTTGCACTGAGGTACAGAAAGCTCTAGTACATGAGTGTTCTCTTCCAACACCCATTTACTTAAATCCTGTTCCCAGGGCAACAGGCAGGGGAAAAAAACTTCCAAGAGACCTACAAAAAGCTGGCCTAAAATCACCAAAATTACTGCAGAAATTACTCCAATTTTCATCCAGGATTTGGAAAATAAGTCAACTCCACAAGAGTTGGAATGTTTTCTGTTCCCTTATAGCAAACACAGAAAGAATGGCTCTCAGAAGAATTTGGAAAAAATATTATTTCACTCTTAGGTGAGAGGAAGAGAAGGTGAAGGGTTATACTACCATAATATCACATTCAGATTTCTGCTGGAGCAGCCACAGAAGGCATCTTCCGTTGATTCTAATAGTTTGGGATCAAGCCTTCACAGACAGGAGAAAACGCAAGGGCCTAGTAACACTGAACCTAAATTAGGTAGAGAAAATTAAAACTCTTCTCTTGCTACCTGCTTTAACATTGATTTAATCTTCAGTGGCATTGTATGCAAAAGACTGGAAATAGATGGCCTGTAATTAGCCCCTCCATCACCTCCACCTCATTGCAGCAACAAAGCAGACTCCTGATTAGCTCCCTAAAACCCCATGGGGGGCCCCGCCCCAAGTGACCCTGGGGCTATTTTGAGTTACAAGCGAAAACCATGCATTCCAGTGGATAAAGGCATAGGGAAGTCCATAGAAGGTTGGAAGAGCTGCATCGTCTGCTCACAGCCTTTCTGAAACTGGGGCGGGCTGGTGGCTCTGTGTTACCAGCCATGGCTCCAGTAATGGGTGGGGATCTCTCCATGCAGAGAAGGAGCCCGACAGGGCTCCAGGGACCCACTGCAACCCAAAAAGAAGGTGAAGGGCAGGGAGCCCAGGGGCCAATTGAGCAGCGTGCCTGAACGCCTTCCCCAGCCAACAAGCAGCATTATGTTGAAACCAAGAGTATATATTAGCCTGCCCATCAAGCGATCATGTACCTATTTACAGCCAAGTAAAAATGGCAACAACATAAAAGGGTTACTTTTTTCCCAATCAAGTATAGACACAGGGTTGCAACTTTCACACACATCTAATGCTAGCCTTCCTCCGTGCACACAAGCAAATGACAGACCTGGCTTTTTTCAGTTGCGAGAAAACAGTATTTTGCACTGCATTTAACAGGCCAGAGTGATGAGCTCAATACCCTGCCTCAGGTGTCACCCAGACTAGTACTGTTTCTCCTTTCTAACTTCCCTTTTCTCTTCTCCCCTCTTTGCCTTCTGTAACAACTGATGTGTCTGCAGTTGTCTTGTGTTGGAAAACCACCTCCTTTCAGTCTCACAGCGGGTAGCAACAGCTACAGAGACCACAAGAAGGATGTAGGCTTTTTCACCATCACATTGTCTCACCACAGTCATCACCTAGCCCTGGTTCATGCACAGGTACTGCAGCATGGGGGAAAATATCCAAGCTTTTTATGCCATGTCAGAGCTTCCCCAACTCCCAATGATAGGTGAGCTGTGCTGGCAGCAACTGAGCACCAAAATCCCCCAAGTATGCACATACCAACACTGGTGTTAAGAACACCTAATTACAGCCTGTCCTCAGCACTGCTATCAACATCCAAAGCAAAACTTACTGAACAATACACTTTGAAGAATCAAACAAGCTTTGCTATGCTTTACTCAGATTATTTTGCTGGTCTGTTATCTCTTTAGAGGAAGTACAGGTCTTGCTTAAGAACTGCAGCACTACCCTTCTGAAAAGCCTGATCTAGAGACAGCATAATGGAACAAGGCTGTGCCAAAAATGCTAGTGAGAATTGGGGAGTAAATACACATTTTCTGTGGAGTACAGCACACACTTTGAATTCTAAAAGGGACAAGCTGGGTCACTGCATGCAGGCACCATAACTCAGACAAGATATAATAACCACTTTACAAAAACGGAAGAACATTATTAGCAATACATGCCTAAATTGCTAATGAGATGCCTTCCATGGCAGGAGGATTACAAATCACTGACAATTTCCTTGTACTTACTATCTAAACTCTAGTCTGGGGCAAGTTTAAGATGGAGGCAAATAATTTTGTCTTCTCAGCATCTCACATCTCAGAACAAAACCTACTTCTTTTTGAACAGCACATAAGAACTCCTGCTCTGCTTCTATATAATGGATCTCACACTCCTCATCCAAATTTACTGAACTTTAGAAGCACCTCCAGGGAAAGTATGTACAAAGAACAGCAAGCACATTATGAACCACATCAATCTCATAAAAGGAAAATAATCAACTAATATTATGTTTGAAAGAAGACAACTGCATGCAGCATTTCCTTCTGATGTTTGTTTGCATGTATGCATGCCAGTGCTTGGCATTGTATTGTACTGCTAAGTATATTTGACCACCTTAATGTGCACAGGAAACTGAAGATCCCTGTTAAAAAATAACCCATCTAGCTTATTATTAGCTACTTCACTGGCAGCTGAAAGGGAAAGTGCACCTTCCAAGAATAGTTTATTAGAGCCTTCTCCAGCCTACGTAATTCTTACATTGTGGCAAGGAAGTTGACAGGGATCAATACTATGAACATCTATCTGGCTTCTTAAACAGCTTTTGCAGGTTGTGCTGAGCTTCAAGTTGCCACAACTACAGTGCTAGCTGTACATCAGCCAGCTTGTGTGTGTCTCATGAATATAAACACAGGCAATACTTACTGAAAAGAAGATAACTGTGATATATGAGTATCTCCAGACACACTGAACAAATACCACTATCCAGTACACGAGGTCGTTCAGCACTTGACAGCTCACAATAATTGCCACGGGTTGCAAGCAGCCACACATAGCACCTTGAGCAGACAGGAACCAGTCCCACCTTGAAAGTCACAGGGTGAAGTGTCTCACTCTGCTGCAGCTGGTAAATTCAGTTGAGAAACGTAAATTAGCAGAGGCACTGTCTATGGCTTCAGACACAAAATTAATTGCATCTTACTGGCTAGATCATTCAATAATGTGAGCCATTTATACCAGCTGCAGCAGATCAAACTAAGTTAACTGAGTGACAACCTCCAAGTATTTACCTACATCCTTAAAGGCATCCTTTTCACCTTATGCAATAGGAACTATTTTGAGTACTCTGGTACCTCATAACATCACTACAGATGGAAAATTACTGTTGCAACACAGGAAGCCCAAAACCACAGCAGAAATCAAACACACATTGCCCCTGAGGTCCATCTCATCTCTCGACCACAAAGTCACTCTTTCCTATCAAAATGAGAAGCTTGTATTTCTTGGTGCTGTTTTTTACAGTCTGTCTAAGGTGGAGTCAATATAAAAACAAGGTACCACTTGACTGCATATTTAGGCAGGTTAGGAACTTTGTTTTCAATATATGCTTAGACGATTTACAGCACAGGAAAACTGACTGAAGCTTGAAGATTTTACTGCATACTTTACTGGATTTATCCCTGAAACAAAGCAGACAGTAGTACACAGTAGGGTGATGTATTATAATTGCATCCTATTCTCAAGATTTCTAGCGATTTTGCCCACAATTTCTTACTTTTAAGTGAGTTATCACAAGCCATTGATTCCTTAGAAAGTTAACAAGCAATAAGACAAGTTAACCTGGTGCGATTATGAGGCAAAAATGTTACCATCAGTGCATGCAACCACTGTATTTTGTTCATTTTTCCCTCAGGCACAATACAAAGGAGCCTGATCACATTTTTCAGCCACTATTCCACAATTAGACTGTATGCAAAATGCATGAACAGCAAAAGCATGCTGCATTCAATCCTCAATTAATCTAGATGATGAAATAAAGAGAATTCCATTAAGACACTCACTTTCTAAAGACACAAATTAGTCAGAAGCCAAGACTAACAGAATACTCAAATCTGAAGACCGGTTCTCTTTTGACACTCAGCATATGCCAATATACACTGATTTAAATATGACCTACTAACATAGGTCAAACAACTACCAAGATTTTCCTAAGCCCAACATGAAAACTGTCACTATCAAATGCACTGTCAAGACACATGAAAAGTTTCTTTATGCTTCCCCTTTCAATCCCTCCCTACTATCTATATATGATGTGCTACCTCTGCACAGCAGATGAAACTGTGTAACTACATGAATAGAGATTTTGAAGCAGTATAAGAGCAAAACAGATACTTGTTTCAGATCCATGCAGGACTTGAATTCTAGTCCCCCAGCAATATAGTTGGAATATTACACATCATTTAATTTCCACAAATCCATCTTAATAAGCAGAGAGTACAGTGGCAGTCCTGAACACTGTTAGGTTCTACTTTTGATAGCATTATTCTCATTTGAAATACACACAGATACACACACACGTGCACACAGGCAGCGCATTAGCTGCACACAGCTTCGTTTGCAGCAGGTTGAGCAGCTCTCTTGAAAAGCAATGGTATTTTATGGAACAGCTGAAAAGGTAGCAGAAATAGTTGCATCGTATTCTCAGACATGATGTTTTACAGATGTAATGCACAAAAATACGCCTTCCAGCTTCGTCTTCCCAGCTACAGATCGTACAATTGAAATGAAACCATGTGCTAAATAGATGTATGCCAACTTGCACCAGCAGACCCCAGTTTCCAGTTCCTTTCCTCCAGCAGGGTGGACAGGGGAAGCTATTATCCAACCAAAGCCTCCTTTAATGAGCCGTACCTTCCTTTTATTTCACACGTGCCAGTTGTTCTAAAGCTCCTTGCTAGCTCCCACCAACTCCCCCAAAGCCCAGTGCCCCTCAATATCTACAATGCACTCACAATAATACCAGTCAAATACCAATCCTAATTTGGGAAAAATTAGTGCTTAGAGAAATTAGCTCACAGCGAGTTTCAATCTTCTGTTTATATTCCCCAAATACACAAAAAAAACATAAAAGTATTTAAGCTAGTAAGTAATCTGGGGGATGCAGAGAGAAAAAAGGCAGAAAAAAAGCTGCATTTCTATGCCTACTGTGTTGAACATCACTACTTGTACCAAAATAGAAGTTTCTGCCAAACTTTAATGCTCATTGCCAAGGATATAGCACAAATTATGTCTTTCTATCATTTTTGCAAGCTGTCCTCTGATTTCAGACCCATAAAATCATAATTGCAAGAAAATCTGTACTGCACATTAAAGAAAAATATTTAAACAACTAAAATTTTGCTTATCACACTACAACACATTCAATTTCATAAATATATTTAAATAACATTATAATAGGCTTTGAGAAGATAATGAAGTTACAGTGATAACAACACAGTGGAAAGTCATCTGCAAGTGCCAAGAGATTCATAAGGAAACCATGTCAATGCAAAGTTCCACTTTCCTAATAGATACGATGAGGCAATCGTTTACATCAGAAGTGGTACAAATGACTACCTACCTCTTGGGACAGGAAGGGAATGACTTGTGCACATATAGCATTCAGCCTCTTGACAATTTCTGCCTGCAAGTGACAAGAAAAAAGAGGTTCAATTATGTAAATTCTAAAATGCAATTGTCACCCATGAACACTAAAGAGACATTTTATTTTTTTTCATCTCTGGTAATCCTCTGGCCAGGACATGTTATCAAAATAATAAAAGTATTTGGACATCAATTAAAAAATATTTAGGAAGCTAGTAATTTCTGGCTTAAAAGGTCCTCTTAAAAAACACTGTTTAGAACAAAGACTAATTAATTTTGATTACACAGTCACAGGCATTTAAGGAACAAAACCTTTAGGAGATGTAACAAAAAAGATAAACAAAATTCTGGGCATCAAACTGAACTCTCTCCTACAATGCAAAAGCAAGGATCATTTGCAATTACAGCACTGCTGCTGTAAGCAAAGGGAACAAATAAACCATTTACTGCTAACAGTGCATATCATGAGAACACTAGCATTGTAATATACAACTTCACTAATAATCATTCTACCACATATTTCAGAAAGAGAAACTGCAGTCTTGTATCACACTTATGCTTTTATCAAACCCAAGGTTAATAGCAGATACTTTCATGTTGCAATTGTGATCAGAAATTAATAATATACAATTCTGTATTTTCATGCTGAAGATTAATTCTTATTCTGTGTATTTAATCTGCAAATCTCAATAGACACAGGGAAGATTTGCTGAGATAACACAAGAATTACAGCTCCAAACCCAGAATATTTTAAGCAACACAGACTTCCCTACAATATATCATAACTTTCTTATAATAAATTCTAACCAGGATCAATTCTTCATTATACAGTAGGACAGAATGCTCTTCCTCTTGCAAAGTCACTAACCGTATGATGAAGAGATACAAACTTGTGCAATTTAGCCTTCCTTCTTTTAACAGCAGACCTTCCAGCCTTTTTGCTATGCTGTCTTTTAAATAGCAAACACTTAGGAAAGAATCTATAGAACAGAAAGGCTCAGAAGTAGCAGTAAAAAAAGCCAGAAGGTCCCATAAAATAAATCTGGGTTCGAGGAATATTATAGTTACACAGTTACTTAACCTTAACAGACATGGTTTGCAAGAGGTAAGAGTACATATGAAACTAACTCTGCCCCCTTGTGCATACTGTGTGATACATACAAATTACTAATGCTATTTTGCAAATACAACAACTTAATTTCTCTGAAATCCATCTAGACTCCCATAGATTATTTATACAGCAATTTCTATGCTACACTATCCTTGTATCTTCTCACTGGCCTGCGCTGTTTATGCAAGTCCTCATCTTGTTAAAACATTTACGCATTTTAATATATGTTTTAGATTCGTCTACTACTCCTTTTCTATTTATTCACCAACACAGGTACCTTATAGGACACTTCAGAATATGTTCAGTTCACCACAAAGCTAAATTATCTGCAAATTTCAAAGTTCTCTACATACCTATAATATCAGATATCCCACAATGTAAAACTTAAATATTCCTTTAAACAGACAGTGTTCACTACACTAGTTGACATGGAAATTTATGAACTGCTAGTTACACAAAGCAGTACTGGAAGTGACAAGTTGTGTGCATCTAAGCCTCAGCCAGAGAGGCTGCACAATCCAATACAGCATTACTTGAGAAAAAAACATTTTATTACAGAATTTAGACTGTAATACCAGGCACAGCTGTCGAGTACTGGAGCTGTAGTGGTTTAAGCATCATTAATCTAGTAATTTCCAAATTTTGGGCTCCAGTCACACTGCTATTTTTTAAAGGAATCTCCCAAGTGCTTTAAAGTCAAACAGAAAACTACACATTCTGTTCTTCAAGGCTTTTCCATATGAGCAGAAAATTCCAAAGTGCCCCTGCCTTGGCATAAGCTGAAGCCCCTCTGACCTGCCATTTAACTCACATATATGCCATAGTAAAAAAGGGCACATCATGCTTTTTTCTGCTGCAAAACAACTCCTCCTACCTACCTTTAAAATGCCCGTCACAACCTTACCCACCTTCTGCACAGCTCCTGGGGGGAGCCTCTGGAAAACCAGTCTTCCACCTCAGCCACATTAGCTGGATACCTTACTGCACTGCTAAGAAAATGAGAACAAAACCGGCTCGAAGTGCCATGCAGGAGCTCAGCATCTAATTTTAAAAGGCTTGAAGATTCATAGATTTTAAGGCCAGAAGGGACTGTTACAATTGTCTTATCTGACCTCCTGGGTAACACAGGCTGTAAAACTTCACTGGCTTCTCCATCAAACCCATAAATTACAGTTCAGCTAGAATATAGCTTAGTCAACAAAAATAATTTTATTCAATTCACTCTAAGGCATTTCTTCTCAGTTAAGGTACTCGACCATAGCTATTTCAAGTTATTTCAGCTATGATGTTTTCCTTTTGATCATTTCTCTCCCCCTTCCCTAACAGAAGTACGTCTCTCTTCTACTGCTCTTGTTGCCAAAAAGTGGATGAAACATATTTGCTCAATATTTATACAAAAATACACCTCTGGCAGATTCTGAATCTGGGAAACGTTAAGCGAAAAAGAGTTTTCCAAAAAGCTGTAAGTAACTGAAAACAGGTGACTGAATATGAACAGTTACACAATTGCAATAAATCTCTTGATATCAATCCCACTGGAGTGCAGAAAAGAGAGTCCTTTCATGCTGTATGCAGGGAAGTGAGCTGATGGAGACAGCACCCAGCTCAGCCTATGGAGAAGAAAAAGAACTTGCTAAAACAGCTTCAAGTGATGTGGAAACATTCCCCAGCAACATTTCTGAGCTAGACAAGGGGCCCACTACGCCAGTCACAACAAAGCCAAGAAGCCCTTGCTACACCAAAGTGCTTACAATTTTTCCTTATTAAAACAGTCTTTGTTTCCCCTAATACTGAGTGTCCCCAGTTGCACGGTCGTGCGTACATTTTATCACCCTCAACACTCAGGCAGCAAGGAAACAGCCCAACTGAGCAGCAGACTGCAGAGGCACAGCATGACCAAGACAGAGATTGCCTGCCTTTGGAGACCACAGGCAGGCCAAAGGCATGAAGCAAAACACTGTGTACATGCACAAATGATAGGAAGGGCATTACACATTCTGTACCAAGGAAAGTCTTACACCAGACATTTTCACATAGTAAATACGAAGTACAGCCTGTTTCGACACTGCAACTGTTTCTGCAATTAACTGTGGGAGATGCCACAGCAATAGGCTTGATTGTCTTCCGCAAAATGTACAAGAGAAAGCAGTTAGCCTCCAGAAGCTAGTTGAGTGGGTTTCTTGCGATGCTGCCCTAAAACCTGAAGGTTTATACTGCTCACACAGGTCAGCATCTCAGTAGACCTATTCCACTCCCCTAGTGGGGGCCTGGAAACTCACTCTTCTTTGCATAAGGTACAAACTCTGACACAAAGTAAAGAACAACTCCACATTTCTACACTCATACAGATATTTAAAACCTTACATTTCATAACCAATTTAGGGTCTCTTTTTTCTCTTAGACATCAGGTCAATGGGCTTTTCATGATCAGTTTAACTGGCAGGAGAAGGAAAAAGCATGATTTCATAAAATCAGTCATTCAGTTCCTCACATGAAAAGCTGAAGTTGCCTCAGAAACACGGCTGCTTCCACAATCATCTAATTTTACCTCTTTTTTTCCCATGGGACTAGGCTTTAGAGAGGCTTCATTTATTTACAGGCCCTTCCACCGGGCTTCAGTTATCAGCCAATAATACTGTGGACACACACACTTCTAATGGCCTATGTTTTGAAACCAAGTCTAATCTGATGGCGCAGCGCCCAAACTCCTTTTCCAGCATAGCCATTAAAGGATGTAGGTTATTGCTGTTGTCACCATTGATATTTGTCATTGTAATGTAATTAGGGCTCTAAAATGATGCATTACAGCCCTTGGCAGAGCTTCTATTAAAATCTTTTCTTCTGCTCACTGAACTGCGACCTGCTTTCTGATGAAGAACAGACAGACAGCTTTAGCGTGAGGAACAGATTCATCAAAGTAGTATTTTCCAGCTCTGGAAATAAAATAAATAAGTAAATAAATAAATAAGAGGGCTACCTAAGAAGGGGAGAGGGGATGGAGGAAAGCAAACAGCATATTTTAATTTCATCTGACCGCCTGAAACTCTGATTGCATCTAACGAATGTTTCTTAGGACAATATATTTCCAGCCTGTGAATTACATGGTTAATCAGGGTTCTGTTCTGCTATCCATCAGCCTATGCCAGCAGTGTAACTTCCAATCACATTTATAGGTTATGTGGGTCATGCATCCTTGAACAACTACATTCACGGATATCCCATGTAAACTGGCACAGATTCTGAAATGCTTTTGCTAGTGTTACTGAATGTTATAATACTATTCAAAGCTTCATGAAAGCTCCTGATAAACAACTGCTAAATTATTGCCTGTGGATACAGCACGATGCTCTGAAATAGCAATAATGGCACAATAAAAGGGAGACTCTTCATGCCAAAATATAAAAAAGATAGCTTTTGCTGCCACAGTTTGTCAAATCTGCTAACCCACTAAGACACTTCTATTACTACTTTCCCTAAACCAAAAGATGTTTGGTTTTGCATAAAAGCACACAAGCGCAGAAACAGAAAAGATGAAGCAGACTCAGAAACAGAAGACTTGGGCTGGAATTGTCTTTTTACTGATGCAATACAAGGTTGTACTTGTGTCCATCCTTTGGGAGAGACCTACACCACAGTATTTTAAAAGTTCTGATCTCTTTTCATAGTTACTTATGTGGCATCATTTTTAAAAAGAGACGATACTTAAATCATTGTGCCAGAATCTGATCCTAGTAAAGGAATGAGAACTTGTATCAGTTAACAGTGCCTCAGCATTATCTCAGGGATACAACACAAGAGTAACAGCTAAGGTCCCCAGTTCAGACAACAAAATCTTTTTGATCAAAGCTGATAAGTTAAATGATACTTAATTTCCTAAACACACCTAAAAATCTGACCCCTTAAGTTCATAAGTGCCTATAAAGGATTCT